CTCTTGATCAAGTTCACAGTGTGTTTGCGTCGGGAGGGACGGACTGTGTACCAGCAAGTTCTGTCCCTGGAGCACCCAAGTGTCCTACGCAGCTGGAACTGGGGCCTATGTGGACACTTTGCTTTCTACCACGCCCTCTATCCCCGAGCCTGGACTGTTTATCAGCTTCCTGGTCAGAACGTCACCCTCACTTGCCGTCAGATCACACCCATCTTGCCCCATGACTATCAGGTGAGGCACCTCTTTCTGTGTTGGCTTTATTGTCTTCCCTCCCCCAGATCCACCTCTGCCCCAAATTCTACCCACCTATTCAAGGGAGGTGTTGGCACCATAAATATTACACTGGCTTTCTAGGATCACTGTCTAATTAGATCTAGTCTTCCATGTCCTCTGGTAGGCAATGTGTTTGGGAACAAGGGAGGTACATATTGAGGAGTATTTGATTCAGGTCCTCTGGGTCTAGGACTGATCTTGGCAAAGAGTGGGATCAAGAGAGGCTATATCGGGCTGGGAAGATGGCTCAGTGGTAGAGTGCTTGCCTTGCATGTGTGAGGCCCTGGGTTTGATTCCTCAGCACCACATAAGCAAAAAAAAGAAAAAAGCCGGAAGTGGCTCCGTGGCTCAAGTGGTAGAGCGCTAGCCTTGAGCTGAAGAGCTGAGGGACAGCGCCCAGGCCCAGAGTTCAGGCCCCACGACGGGACCCCCCCCCCCCAAAAAAAAAAAAAAGGCTATATCTAGGACCATCTGAGTCCAATCTTTTGCCCCCAGGACAGCAGCCTGCCTGTAGGAGTCTTTGTATGGGATGTAGAAAATGAAGGAGATGAAGCTCTGGACGTATCCATTATGTTCTCCATGCGGAATGGACTGGGGGGTGGAGACGATGCCCCAGGCGGTCTGTGGAATGAACCCTTCTGTCTGGAGCGGGATGGAGAGACTGTAAAGGGACTGCTGCTACATCATCCAACTCTGCCAAATCCCTATACCATGGCTGTGGCTGCACGACTCACGGTAATGGAAGAGCCTATCCCTCTGAGCCTTAAACTCTGTCCAACCCCAAGCTCTCCTATGACCCCATCATAGTCTCTTCATTAAACTCCTGAGTGCCTCCTCATTAGAGTCCTTCAGCATCTAAATTCGGAGGGTGCACTAAGAGGAGCTGGAAAGCTAGTCTGAATTCAGTGTACTTCAGTCTTTTGTCCCTTAACAGGCAGATACCACGGTAACCCACATCACGGCCTTTGATCCTGACAGCACTGGGCAGCAGGTGTGGCAGGACCTACTTGAGGATGGACAGCTGGACTCCCCTGCTGGTGATGGGGGGTCTGACTGGGAGTTGTTGGGAAAAAAGGTTGTCCCTGTCTAAGGACCAGGGGTGGGAGACCTGATCGTGAATAGGCCAGTTCACAAGTTAGGGATCTCTAGTCTTGAGACTAAAGGAGGTAGAGTGCCTGTCTTCATTCCTCTGTGCTTCTCAGGCCAAAGCACCCCTTCACAGAAAGGAGCAGGCATTGCTGGGGCTGTATGTGTTTCCAGCAAGCTACCACCTCGAGGTCGATGCTGCCTAGAGTTTTCGCTGGCTTGGGATATGCCCAGGATCATGTTTGGAGCTAGGGGCCAAGTCCACTACAGGTGAGGAGACCAAGAAAGTATAACAGTTCAAGGTTTTGAGGCTCTGAGCTGGAGCAAGTATTTTCATCCCTTCTTGCCCTCTTGCAGATGGTACACAAGATTCTTTGGCCAAGATGGTGATGCAGCCCCTGCTCTCAGCCACTATGCCCTCTGCCGTTATACAGACTGGGAAAACAGGATCTCAGCTTGGCAAAACCCAGTATTGGATGACAGGTGCAGTGGAATTCTTTTCCTTCTTCCTGGGCACTCATTCCTAAGGAGTCTCTGATCCACTGTTTATCAAGTCAATAGGGCTGGGCTGGGATTCACTTGGTGTTCTCCATTCCACTGAACCCCAGGATCCTTTCTATCTTGGGAGGTCTATACTCACATAGATCCATTCCTTCCTTCTGAATCCACAGATCCTTGCCTGCATGGTACAAGTCTGCACTGTTCAATGAATTGTACTTCCTGGCCGATGGTGGCACAGTATGGCTGGAAGTCCCTGACGACTCCCTACCAGAGGAGCTGGGAGGAAGTCTGCATCAGCTTCGCCCCATCCTCCAGAACTATGGTCGATTTGGCTATCTTGAGGGTATGGGCTGCTGGTAGGCAGGGGGGAAGAGAGGGATGGAACGCCATACTCCTGAAACCAGTAAATGTCCTACTATTAGGCAAGATGACAGATTTGCTTACCCCAGGGTACTGGTGGGGTGAGGGGGCAGGTGGCAACTGTGGACTGGTGACAGCACCCTACCTCCAACTTGGGGGGGAAAGCTATGAAGAGGAAGCAGGAACCTGGCAGCAGCATCTCTTTCGTTTTTCCAGGCCAGGAGTATCGCATGTACAACACATACGATGTCCACTTTTATGCTTCTTTTGCCCTCATCATGCTCTGGCCCAAACTAGAGCTCAGCTTACAGTATGACATAGGTGAGAGTAACACTCATATTGCTCTGCCCTCTTAAGCTCCCCTTGCCCCTGAAGCTTTGTGGCCCCAAGGTTATGTCGACTATCCTTTACAGACATCTGCATGCTTCTTGTTGATTCCCCTCTGAGGTCACAACGCACACACAGCTCTGTGCCCTACCCTAAGCCTGCCCATCTCCTGTCTTTCTCTACCCGCTTCTATGGTCTGTTCCCTCAGCTCTGGCAACCCTCAGGGAGGACTTGACTCGGCGACGGTACCTGATGAGTGGAGTGATAGCACCTGTAAAAAGAAGAAATGTCATCCCCCATGACATCGGGGACCCAGGTGAAGGTCTCTCTACCTCAAGGTCAGCTTTCTTGACCTGTACCTTGTCCACCAATGTGGATGAACCAGGTGCCTTCCCTTCCTACAGATGATGAGCCCTGGCTCCGAGTCAATGCGTACTTGATTCATGATACTGCTGACTGGAAGGACCTGAACCTGAAGTTTGTGCTGCAAGTGTATCGGGACTATTACCTGACGGGTGACCAAGACTTCCTGAAGGACATGTGGCCTGTGTGTCTAGTAAGGGATTCATGTGCAATGTTCCTAGGCATGACCAGTGTCTGAGGAGACCCCATTGGCTACTCTTAGTACTCAGGTCTTCAGTGACTCTGTCCCTCTCTAGGCTGTGATGGAGTCTGAAATGAAGTTTGACAAGGACCAAGATGGACTCATTGAGAATGGAGGCTATGCAGACCAGACCTATGATGGATGGGTTACCACAGGCCCCAGGTAAGAGGGGTAAGGATTTCCAGGTCTCAGGTGAGCACTAAGGGAAGGTAGTGCTCGAGAGAATGACTTATTGTCTGTTAGAGTGCATGGGAGTGGCTGGAGCTTCCATCTGACCCTTAAAACTCCTACCTCTGATTAGTGCTTACTGTGGAGGGCTATGGCTGGCAGCTGTGGCTGTGATGGTCCAGATGGCTGTTCTGTGTGGAGCACAGGATGTCCGGGATAAGTTTTCTTCCATTCTTAACAGAGGCCAAGAAGCCTATGAAAGACTTCTATGGAATGGTGAGTTGGGAGACTCTAAGGAGTGTGTGTGTGTGTGTGTGTGCGTGCGTGCGTGTATGCCAGTCCTGGGGCTTGAACTCAGGGCATGGGCACTGTCCCTTAGATTCTTTTGCTCAAGGCTAGTATTACTACTTGAATCAAAGTTCTACTTTTGTCTTTTTAGGAAGGGTTGGTTTATTGGACGTAATAGTCTCATAGACTTTCCTACCTAGGCTGGCTTTGAGCCACAATCTTCAGATCTCATCATCCTGAGTAGCTATGATTATAGGCATGAGCCATCAGCACCCAGTTCTGAGTAAAAGAGCTTACAGTCTTAGGGACACCATGAGCCTTACTTTGACCTTCCTCTACTCCAGGCCGCTATTACAACTATGATAGCAGCTCTCATCCTCAGTCTCGTAGTGTCATGTCTGACCAATGTGCTGGACAGTGGTTCCTGAGGGCCTGTGGACTAGGAGAAGGGGACACTGAGGTGAGGAACCAGAAAGGTGGGTTATCCCCAAAGGTTGGAAGTGCACGGGAATAAATCTCTGCCTTTGCCCTTGGTTCCTTCAGGTATTTCCTATTCCACATGTGGTCCGTGCTCTCCAAACCATCTTTGAGCTCAATGTCCAGGCCTTTGCCGGGGGAGCCATGGGGGCTGTGAATGGGATGCAGCCACATGGTGTCCCTGATAGATCCAGTGTGCAGTCTGATGAAGTCTGGGTGGGTGTGGTCTATGGATTGGCAGCCACCATGATCCAAGAGGTAATGTACTTCCTTCCCCATCTCCTTATCATTTGTACCTTCCTCAGCTACTAAACTTCTTCAGTGCCATCTTATCCATCCATAAAGCCTTAACCTTTTTTTCCCTGGTATGCATTCTACCTCCTACTTTAATCAAGTTTCTATCCCCTACCAGCGAGGAGCTCCCTGAGAGCAAACACCTTCCTATGTCTGTCGTTCCAGTTGAAGTAGTGATGCTTATTTATATATCTGACCTCCATCTCTCCCCACAGGGCTTGACTTGGGAGGGCTTCCAGACAGCTGAAGGCTGCTATCGCACTGTGTGGGAACGTCTAGGCCTGGCTTTCCAGACTCCAGAGGCATACTGTCAGCAGCGAGTCTTCCGTTCACTGGCCTATATGCGGCCACTGAGCATCTGGGCCATGCAGCTGGCCTTGCAACAGCAGCAGCAGAAAAAAGATGGAAGGCCAATAGTTGAACAGAGCAAGGGATTAAGCCCAAGGCCTAAATGTGGACCAAAGGGAGCCCTGGCAAACTTAAGTCCAGAATGAACCTGGTATTTCTCCTTTAAACCCCACCCCCCAAACTCCTGCAGCCCTGAGCCTCCAGGACAATCATGCCCCTTCCCTTCGCCCCACCCAACTGTGCCAGTAAAGAGGGGCTGAGGGTGATCCAGGAATCAAAATCACTTATTTATTTCTTTCCATCCCCTTCCCTCACTGCATGAAATATTCAGTCATTTGATTTCCCCAGGTGCCGCCATTCATAGGGCAATAGACACACAAATACAAATAAAAAAATCCATAAAGCCAGTAGCAAGTGTAGTGTGTTTTGAGCCCTCAGGCATCCTAACGGCATAGAAGCAAAGACTAGCCCTCTTCCGCCACTCATTGAACACAGATGGAGTCCCCCAGGCTCTTGTTGATTCCTCATATCCTTATATCTAACCTGAGTATCTTCCCTGCAAGATGACTGATGAGGGGCTATAGGTGAGGAGCCCTTCACCTTTTTTTGTGACATTTGCCTGCAAGAGAAGAATGGGACCTGGCCAGGGGGACTCTGAGAAGAGGTCACTCCCCCTCCACTGCAGGGGAGGCACAGCCTGAGGAGCTTCAGGCATGTAGTACAGCAGGCAGAGGTTGCCAGGGGCTTGGAACACATGATCTGAGCTGTACAGCAACTGGCTTGTGCTGTCCTTTGGTACCTCTGACTGCAGGGTAGGTATCTCCATTTGGTAAAGGTCCTCACTGGGCAGGGAACGAAGTTGACGGGACAACACTGAGGAGACAAGAATTGTCAGGAGACAATCAAGAAAGAGCCCAGGACTGATTCTCCCCTAACCCATGCCTTAAAGGTATCCTTAAGTCTTACCAGCATTCTCAGCTGGAAGGCTCCCCCTTGTGTCTGAAGAGTACATAGCAGGTACAAAAAGGAGGCAGAAGGAGAACAGTAGGACCTAGAGTACAGGGAAAAAAGGAGATGAAGAAAGGCTCTAGATTATACCCCGGTCCTGACGACCTATAAAGATCTCTCCTCCCATTACCATCCTCACCAAGACACAGCTGCTGGTACTGCTGGTTTTGTTTGATATCTCAATCAGCATGGCCTGGAGTTTCCTCAACTGATCTAGAAGGGACCTAAAGAAAGAAAGGGACAGTGGTTAGGCCTTATCCCCCAACCTGGCATCCTGAACCACAATGAACCCCCCATGTTAATGCCACCTGCTCCATCAGTGCAGTGGATTCTGTTTCTTACTTTCCCATTTCTTTCTTTCTTTTTTTTTTTTTTTTGGCCATGGGGCTTGAACTCTGGGCCTGGGCGCTGTCCCTCAGCTCTTCAGCTGAAGGCGAGCGCTCTACCACTTGAGCTACAGCGCCACTTCCGGTTTTCTGGTGGTTTATTGGAGATGGGAGTCTCACGGTCTCTCCTGCCCGGGCTGGCTTTGAACCGCGATCCTCAGATCTCAGCCTCCTGAGTAGCTAGGATTACAGGCGTGAGCCACCAGCGCCCGGCTGTTACTTTCCCATTTCTGCAAATGATTACTTTTCACTGTGGACAGAATACTTGAAGTTCCTCATTAAAACAAAAAAAATTAAGTTCTCTATCCTGTCTATCCTGTCTTAACCTCCTTTGTAGTTCTCCTTCAATAGTTCTCCAATGCTTGATCATCTATGGACAAACTCCTCACCAGGTACTCCATTTCCCATCTTCTGGCCCAACTCATCTTGTGTTAGAGTTCCAGCCAAATCCAACTATTATATTCTCTAACCCAAATGCTTTCCTCACCCAGCACTCTTACTGTTCTCACCCTACCTGCTCCATGAGGTATTTCTTTGTTGCCCTTTCTCTTTCTTGGTACTAAACATTTAGCTGCTTATAAACTTACTCCCCATTACTATGAGCTTCTTGGAATCACAGACTCAGTAAGAGCCAGGTACCAGACCTTACATTTGGAGCTACCCAGTTAGAAATCAAGAGTAAGCAGGATTAAAGGAGAATTAAAGACATTAAAGGGGAAGATTTGGAGGGCTGCTTACAGATTCTGTTCCTCTAGATGCTGTACTTTGTTCTGTAGCTCCTGATTCTGGGCTGTGTATTTCAAAACCCTGAGGGATAGATAACAGGTTTATAGGGGTTATAGCCCTTTGAAAACTTAATGTTTCCAAGTAGTTCTTTTTCCTTCTCCCTTTCCTACCTTCTCTCTAAACCCCCTACATACACCTTCTTCTTTCTGCGACTCTCTTGAGCAGATCTCTTGTTTCGAATCTTCCTTCGCACTCGTTTTAGAATTTGTTCCTCCATCTGAGAGAAAATGGAGACAAAAGGGGTATCAGGAAATTGGATGAAGCAATCAGAAGGTGACTTGTACTCAATCTTACCAATGCAGAAATTCCTTCTACAGCTTCCCTGATGAAGAGACACTCAGCTTCTCTTTGAGTGCTCCAAAAACTAAGTGTTTTAACACATGCAAGCCACACTAACATACTGACCTACCTAGTTTCCTATTAGCAACAAATTTGGTAAATTTCCCAATCTAGGTCCTTTTCCAAGTAACTGACATGATATGAACCTACTTGGAGCTCAATCTCCCTCCAGCCTTTGCTTCACCATAGAGCGCCTTACCTTAGTAAGAGGAAGTGTCCCGGGCAGAATAAGCCCCTCTTTCTCCAAAAGGCTCTTCTCCTCCTCAGTCAGCATCAGCCCAGCAATCTCCTGGGAGTAATGGGGAAGTGAGTAGTAGAGTTGCGTCCGATTCAGAGAGGAATTAGGATTCCTGGCTCCACCCATGTCAGGTGGGAATGAATAATCCTGAAGACCAAATCAAGTACCTGCTCTGCTGGCTCCTCTACCTGCTGTGGCGTCATCCAGGCCTCCTCCTTTCCACACCTGCCACTGTCTGCAAAGGGGAAAGTAGGGCTAGTCAGGCCCGTCAGCTTTGGCCTTCCCCAAAAATTTCACTTATTTTAGACTTACCTAGATCTGTGGAGACATGTTCCTGTGGGAGGGAGTAGGTGTGATCGTGGTGGACTGGAGATGAGTCGGAAGAGCTGAGAACGTCCGAAGATGTTTGGGGGCTCAGAAGGCAATTCAGCAAATCCTCTACCTCCCAGTCGCTCAGAGCCTGCACGGAGTTCTAACAAATTCACAGGCCTTGATTCATCTCCCCAATCTCACCGATCGGCGAGCTTCCCCACTCGGAAGGCCCACCCACCTCAGAAGGTGACAGCGCCCAGTCCCGCGGAGCCTCTACGGCCGCATCGGATGGAGCCTCCACGGCCTGGTCAGGCACAGCCCACAAACCTCCGCTTTCCTCCAGCAGGAAGCCCAGCAGGTCCTGGTCATCAGAGTCCAATGTCATCTCCATTTGGGACATCTATGGAAAGGAGGAGCAGAAACGCGTTCAAGTCTTCACAGGGCTCAGCCTCCGACTCCCAGGCACGACCCTCGGTCTAAGTGTCCATCTCCCCTCACCTCGGCTCCCTCTTCGGAGAGGTGGGGGGCCTGCCCCGCCGGGGGCCTAGCGGAGGCTCAGCAGCCGGAGCTACCTCCTAGCCAGGATTTTTCTCAGCCTCCAGCACAACAGAAGTGACGCTCCCGGCCCCGTGGCATTTTGGGACTTGTAGTCCGTGCCGACTCCGGAAGTGGCCTCGGAGCCTTTTGGCGCCACGTCCCGGAGGCTATGCAAATGACGGGGATGTCCCTGTGGCCTCCTCGCCACCCCCAGGGCGGGGATTCGGGGGGGATCCGGTTCCGCCTGCGCCCCGAGCTAGAAAAAGGAAGAATTAAGAGCCTGAAAGGGAACTCGGGCGTCGTGCGGGCTTGACTCCGGATTCGCCGCACCCTGGCTTCCTGCCGGGGAGGGGCTGCGAGTCTTCGGCGGGCTCCCGAGCGTCGAGAGCCGGGGCCATAGCAGCTTCCTGCATTCTCCACGGTCCTAGTGCGCGGGCCCAGGGCGCCGCCCGCGGGTGGGGGACGATCCCGGGACGGAAGTGACCGAGAGTGTCGAAGGGAGTGCGAGGTCGGAGCCGGAGAGCGACCCTGAGAGCGAGCGGGATAGCGGGCCAGCGGGCGGGGCACAGAGCCGGGCAGCGCAGGTAGGCCTGACCCGGCCGAGCTGGAGCCTCGGGGTGGGGCCGTGGGGCCCGGCCCGGGAGGCGGGCGGGAGGGCGGGCGGGGTCCCCGACTCTCCTGGTGTTCTGTTTTGAGTTGCGTTTGAAAGGTCAGGGTCCAGTGTGTCCCGACTGGGGCCTGGAGCTAAGCAGGCCATCTGGGGAGAAGCAAGCCCAAGCCCTTTTCTGGGAGCAGTTCTCCGCCTGGGACAGGTTTTGGGGAGGGCGAGAAATGAGATGGAGTGAGGCACAGGGCGGGGGTAGGCTTTGGGGTTAGCTGATAGCGGGTCTGTAAGTTCGGAAAGCTTTGAGTGAGTTTGGGATTAGGTTGTGTTGGGTTGAGGAGTCAAGGCTCCCTCTAGAAGTTAGGCTAAACCTTGAGTTGTGTCAGGTCCGTTTTGTGTAGGTGACGTTTAGACAGACGTTTAGAATAGGTTTAGTTTGACATTTAAATCACTTGTTTTCTGAGTAAGTGGCTAGCGTGAGTAAAAACGTACATGACTAGGTTAAGGAAGGAATTAGGTTAGAAGTCATTTTAGGAGTTTCAGTCCACTGTCACGGTCAGTATTGAGGATAAACGGAAGAGATGTTTGGAATCTAGTTACAAATGAGCTTCAGAGCTGAGGGGCCAATATTAGGGTTAAAGCTTGGATCTGGTGTGAGTGTCTACTAAAAGAAAGGGATGGATGTCAAAACTGTTCTACAGAATCAGGAAACAAATTAAGAGTACAGGTTAATATTGGGAATTAGAGGTAACTTTATGGATTGTTGTCTAGGTCGGAGAAGTTGACCTTGAGCTGGTAAAAATTTAGAGGTTAGCAACAAGTAAATGCCTTTGTTTTGTGATGAGGTCCCCTTTTTCCTCTGTGGTGACAGGGGTTCTTTTATCCAGAATAATGACAAACCAGTTTCAGACCCATGTTCCAGGCTTCAGCTAGAATTTCAGGCTCCTTGGATTCCAGTTTGTTTATTTCATTCTCTTAAGTCCAAGGCTCTTACTGTGGCCACCACCATTGGAGGCCAGGGGATTCCTGGACTAGCTGGACTAAGTTATTATACAGATAGGAGGAGAGAAATGGACAGTAACCCAGGAAATATACAAGGCCTAAGGTACGCAGGAGATTTATAAGGTCACAAGTAGGAGACAGGAAGAAGAAACCGATGACTAAGAGGGGAGCCAACCAGGGGTGAAGGGATGACTGAATCCTGTTACAGTTTAGCCCATTTCCCTTCATCTTGCCTTATATTCTCTAGATACTATGCCCTCCTTTCCAACTCTCATCCTGGCTCTGCATTGCACACTCTCCATACTTATAGATAGATAGGTCCCTTGCTTTGAACTCCCCCCATGTTTACTCATCTTACCATCCATTCTTTGCTGTCTCCCACCACAGCCTCCCTCCCATGCACCCATCTTATTTACCCTCACCCAACTTCAAGCTTTTCCACAACCATAAAGCACTCTCACCATTTCTACCTACTCATATACTTGCAATACTACTTGGTCATTACTGAATACCCTTAACCCCAGCTATGTATATCTCTGAGCCTTCTTTTATTTCTTAATCTGCTTGTAGGTCCCCTTCCCCCACTCCCCACCAGAAAAGAGGAAATGAGACCCAAGAGGAAACTGGGTCTTTCTGATCCCACGCCCAACCAGGCTACTGACCACACCCCCTTTCACTCTCAGCCTGACCCTGTCACTGACCACAGCATTATCTCTTGCCCATCCTGATTCAGCCACTGACTATATAACTCAAGTCATCTTTCCCTCCACCTCAACTACAGTATTACTTAGGCCCTACCAATGTCCATCAATCCTTCACCTCAACCTAGTTTGCTATTTATCACATTCCCATCTCTTTCCAAACCCCTGTAGCCTGAAGTAGCCTCTGACCTCACTCCAACATTCCCCGACTTAGTCACTATTTATGTAGTCATTCTTCATCTTTCCCAGCCTGATCCAGTGACAATCATATATGAATTTTTTCAGTCTTTTTCTATACCCTGTCTTCCCCTTTCCTTGCCCCATACCCCTACCTAGCTATTAGCCATATCCCATGCTTTTTCCCATAGCCTCATAGCAGCATGCTTCCCCTGTTACCAGTTAGTTATCTAAACTCAAGCTGCCCTAGCTAATGAGTGGCTGATGATGATAGGAAGCTATGAGACTCCAGGCTAACTTTTTGCTCTAGTTCCTGAAGGTTGACAGATCAGAATGTCACCAGATTCTTGTCAGTTCTACCTCTTAATTTTTTTTTTTTCTGAGTGGCAGCATCCTTTCTACCACTGTAATTCTGGTTTTATTACATCTTTTACTAATAGAGTGTCCTAACCCATTTTCAAAGTTATTTTCCTATAGTCCATTTCTGGTTATGTGTCCCTTCTCTACTCTCAAATAGGTCAAATTCCTCATATTCTTCTCTATGCCTCCTGTGCCTTTCCATCGCCTGCAGGTATCCTGTGCTTCAATCAGCCTGCCTACTCACTTCCTTGAGTGTGCCTTCATGATTTCCTGCTTCTTCACCTTTGCTTGTGCTAACCTCTGTGCCTAGAATGATACCTTTGACTTATCTCCGGCTGGCCTAATGGAAGGAGCTTGAGCTTTGAAGTCAGAGAGACCTGGGTTCGGATCCTGGCTTTCACAACTGATTGCTTGGTCAACTACTTTGAACAAGTATTTCACTTTCTTGACCCTTGGTCTACTGATCTATAAAAATGAAAACAATACTTACCTTGCAGAGTTGTTATAAAATTAACTGAAATTATGTATACAATGCAATCTACATATAGTAAATAAAGGACAGATAATATGGCTTTTATTATCTTTTTTTTTTAATCCTAACCTCAGATGACACCCTTCATAGACAATTTTTGGTCCCACTTCCCTAACATAAAGGAACCTCTCCTGAGCCCACATGTGGGCTCCTACACAAACTGTGCATTCCCGCTGGGGGACTGGCAGCCCCCTGAAGGCAAAGGCTGGCTTACTCATCTTGGTTTCCATCCCACCAAAACTTTGGCTCAGGGCCTTTCCCACAGAAGTTCCTCAAGGAATGCTGGCTGGGAGAATGGAGGGAAAATGTGTACATAATGGAAGGAGAGAGGTTGAAGGCCTAGATCTTGAAGCCTAATGTGATTGTGATGAAGTTCTATTTGTGGGAAAGCTGTGTGAGTGGGATGGGGTCTCTGGAAGATCCATCCGCATACTGGTTGTGAGATTGAAGGTAAACTATATAGAGACAGTGTAGGTAGCTTTGTGGGAAAGAGCTCTGGGTACAGGCTGGGGAGCATAGGAGAGAATGTGTGTACATGGGATGTGCAGAGGCTGTGTTGGAGGAAGTCAGGTCCGACTCTTCAGCTGCCCAGTCCAGCCCTAAATGAGCCTCCAGCAGCCTGAGGCCGGATATGTCAGTCTCACCCACAACTCCACCCCCCTCCCCTCCGCGGTTGCGGACTCAGAGGCCAAATTTGGTAACAGACTGAGTGTTATTCCCCCAACCCTCTTACAGTCTCACTGTCTTCAGCTTTTTCTCTTGCTCTTTATCCCTCTCTGTAACTCCCTATCTTCCTGCAGTTTCCTTTGTGGGTATCTGCACTGACTGTATTCTCGGTGTACCCCCAAATTCCTTAGTTCCAATAAGTTTACATTCCATTCCTTGCTGGGATTTGACCTGCTGTCCTCTATTCCCACCCCACCCCCCTCCAATTGCCCAACTCCTCCGGAATGCATCTCAGGAATGTATTGAGGGAGGAGGAGTTCCCTGGGAGGGGGACTTGGGGGGGGGGGGGTGTTGTTGCTGTTCCAGAAAACATGATGGAAGGGGAGCCCTGTTCTTAGGCTTGGGCAGGAATCAGCTTCTACTTACATACTTCCAGAGGCCTTCTATGCCATCATAATCTCCAATTTACTGATCAATTAATCAATTCCATGTTTCCCTACACCACCACCCCAGTAACTAATGGCCACTCAGGACCAGCCTGAGAGTTAGGGTAGGCATGACTCAGCTCTCTTATTGGGTTATCGGGGTCTCACCAGAAGTTTCTGAGGAAGAAGTGGGTGTCCATATGTCCGGAGGAAATGGGGGGAAGACATGGCATTTCAGCTTAGGGTAAAGGATCCTTTCAGTCCTGTTCTAGATCCTCGGACTTTTTGGCTTCACTGGCGCTTCAGCTCTTGCTCGTCTGTGGTCAGCAGCCCACAGCCAGGTCTGTTCCACTAATGGGAGAAGTACTCTAGGAATGGGGAGGGAGTAGAGAGCTAGAACTGGATAAACTGGGAGGGTCCTCTCATTTGAAATAAAGATAGAGAATGAGCTGTGGTTCTTCTGAGATTGTAGACTGTTCGTATGTTAGAAATGGCCAGAAAGATCCAGATCTTTCCCACATCTCCCTCCTATTTTTCCTAGAACTCTCCACTTTACCTACCTTACCTCACAGGACCACTTCACTTCTT